AGGCTAGTCTTATGTAACAGACGCAGGGAAGGAATTTTATCAGACGCACACAAATAAAGACCATGTCTCAACCTTTTTGTAGTAGAGTAGACAAATCCCTTTGAAAGGATGAAATGAATTGTTCCCTTAATGATAGTGACACAATTGAAGGCGCGTACACCGTTGTTGCCGTTGGATTGTTAACTCTTTCCTAATAGAAGTCATTGCCACATTTAAAGATAAACCTAGTTGGGTGTTTCACCTCTAGACTGTACCCTATCCATAGCTGATAGTTGGCACTTGATCTGGCATTCGCCTATGGGGATCTCAAGGTCTGGGCACCAAAGCTGCGTTTCCAGGGCCAACCAAAACAAACATCAATCTGAATCTGTCCCCGCGGCTTTAGCCTCTATCAGGCTTCAGAGGGGGTTGAAAGAGTAGAAACTGGTCAAATAGACAGATGAAGATAACATGTCAGTGGAGTTGGTCCACTGAAGGAGTACGGTTTCAGAGCGGTACACTGTACTCTTTTAGCGAACTGACTCCTCTCTATTAGGCCATTTTTCTATCCTTTCCAGCCGCCTGTAAAGCCCGTTAGAGTCCACCTTGGCAGCAGGGATACATTAGCATGCGTGGGAGGACAAACCAGGGACTTCTGTGCCATTATTTCAATTACCTGAGCGGTTGGGATATATGGTCAACCCGGTGGGTTGTCAGACACCGGCATTTGTAGATTAGGGGTCTGTTGTTTGGGGGAACTATAAGTTGGAATCCAGACTGTTGCTATCGACCCCCCCCCCCCGAACTCCAACCATGGTTAGGATTAGGTCGGCTACCGAATGTTTCAAAATGTGAAAACATTTCTGGTGTGGACGAGTGGTTCGGCCATGGTTGGCTGGTGTTCGGGAATAGGTCGGGGCGTGGTTGGCAGTTCAATAAAGACTTATCAGAACTTTGTATACTTCAGTAAAGAGGAGATTGTACACTAAATTCTTACGCTTATGTGCCTGTCCAAATATTTAGTAGGAAATGGATCTTACTGCACAAGTGATCTATAAATAACCATCAGGTTTAACAATGATTTTCCTGTATAGTCTAGTTCAAACAGGGACCTGAAAACGTCTTTCGGGGCAACGTTACCTCAAAAACAGTAACTGGGTCAGAGGTATTTTAAATCGTAAAGGAAACATTTGAAGAAAACGAAAACCAGTCCCTCCTGTCAGCAGCAACCTTCACTCTTCCATTACCCTGGTTGTTGTCGGCCCAGCTGAGTCTTTTTACTTTGAAAAGGAATTTTTCTTCAGTCACTCTGTGCACAGCCACGCAATACTAATACGTCACCACTGTAGCCTAATAAGATGAAAAGAGAGACGGAGCGTTGGTTTTGTGTGTGTGTGTGTGTGCCCGAGATATCGAGACAAACTTTCTGTCATAAGAGAGCGGGATGAAAGAGCGCTAATTCTGTACGCCAACACTGTTGAAAAAAGAGACGGAGCATTCATTTTCTGGGTAGTCTTGTGTGCCAGACATCGCGACAGACAGACTGCCATAAGAGAGTTCAACGAGAGAACGCTATATAATTCTGTACGCCAAAACTGTAGCCTTCTGAGGTGAAAAAAAAAGAGACGGATCATTCATTTTCTGTGCAGTCGTGTGTGCCAGACATCGAGACAGACTTGCTGTCACAATTAAAGAGAGCTGAACGAGAGAACGCCTAAATCTCACGAACCTGGAATTCTGATAATGTAAACGAAAGGTGATGACCGGTGCCATGGGTGGAAGACTGAGGCCGCCCCGACCGCTCCAGACAGCCGGCATACCTCCCTGCAACTCTAGAGCACCCTCAGGAAACCGGTCCGTCTTGGTCGGCAGGCTTAGCTCAAGGACAAAGTCTTGTAAACACATATAGCCTCGTCACTCAGATATCCGATGGAGCGGGAGCATTGGGATAGAACCGTAGCCTCGCTATGCAGGTGTCTTGAGTGTACAATTTGTTAAAAACTATTCGCTCAGACTTGCACGTAGCAGTTTCTCTTTCGAAATGTCACTATGTGGGAGCCGACAACTAATGTTGGGCGTTGAAGGTTGCCTAAGAAAATTGGTGACTTCTGAAGGACTCTTGTCGTTCCACACAGACTTTTAGAAGACGCACCTTATTCTTACCGTGTCTTAGACAAAGACGACTAACGTTGGTCTTTGTGATAAATGAAAACACTTTAAGAAAACGTAATTCACCCCGTAAAACTCCTAAAAGCCCTGCAAATTCTATTTTAATGATTGAGACGTCAAACAATTCTCGATTATCACACCCAGACCTGATACAATCTCTCAAGAATTTTAATGCGACAAACTTTATAGGGATATTATCTTATCTTAAAGAAGTGAAACTAGAACTTGACCTTAACTTAAGAAGGGAATGTTAATCTGAGATCCTTCAGGAAGGGTCTGTACGTCGTTGGATTGACGGATACATGGTTGATAGCTGGAATTCTTCTCGTTTAAGGTCGATCTACGAACCAAATAAGCTATCATCGGTTGGTCTTGGCCCGGCTGTCAGGCTGTTCCAGGGCCAGGGTCAGTAGCGACTGTGGGAGCGGACGTTAACTAACCAGGATGGTACGGTACCCAGGTTACACATATTTGCGGATCGGACTCGGTTTATTGATCAGGCGAAAAGCCAGTTGGGGTGTCCGACTAGCTTTGTGTTCAAGCTCGCAGACTTGTTGCTAGGCTCCGTTAACAAGAAGGAAGAAATTGGGTCGACTGTGGACTTTTCGGTGAACGGACAATTGGACATCCCATTGAATTCTTCCATCTTTTCATTCCGAAAGGCAGAAGAAACAAAGAAAACCGTCACACTTCGGGACCCGCTCTAGTAGACATGAATCGACTCAGCTGGAATATGATGCGTTTCGTGGAAACCCCGCAGAATGATCGGGAATATTTTTCTTGGCGGAACAGTGTGGCTATTGACAGACCAATCTGGGTTGGGGTGATTCTTGTTCCCAAAAGAAAATGATCCATGACGAATCTGAGGTAAACATGCCAAATATCAGCATGTGTTCTTTGTGAATATCGCTAGGCTAAATGTAATCTCCAAGCAGATCTATATATAATTTGGAGGCTGCAAAGACAGTATTAAATCAGACAGACAGTATCCATTATATTTTCCAGGCAGTTACCATTTGCCACCCGAAGGGCTGGCGTAAAGAAAAGATGCGAATAAGATGAAGAAAGCTCGAAACGCCTAGAACCATGCCATAAATAAACCTTAATATCTACTTGGAGAGCAGGCAAACTACGCTAGTCGACCCATTTTGTTTTGATTAAAAAGACCAGGACACTTTACAAAGAAGCTTTTGAATTAGATTAAAATTGCAAATGGATCGTGAGTTTTGTTGTGGATGGTTTGCTAACTGGCGCCCTGTACGGTTATTTGTAGATGAGTGTCAATACGTGAGAGGGGCGCAAATGCGTTAACAACTAGGATTGTTTACTCTTCATTTCTGCATTAGACCTGAGATACCCGAATGTGTGTAATGAATGATTAGATATAGTAGCTCCTCGGGGGAATCCTGTGGTGATAGACCACACACCCACAAATGCCTTCGTTAGCGTTTTCTAGCCCAGCCTTTCTGCCGGTGTGTTTGTATTCACAGGAACCCCCCTTGAACTCCAAGTTTGTTGAGCGCCGTCAAGAGACACTCATTTGTAAACTTTGTCAGATTCAAGGCCTTTATTTCCACTCATCTGTGTCTGTGCTTCTAATTATACTCTCCGAAAAGAAGTTGGTTTATTTGTACAGATGTTCTTGCAATGCGCCTTTGGCAGAGCGCAGTTGTCCCTGAAGGCTATACTTTTCCTTGATAAGAGTTGAGCACTATAACAGGCCCGCTTGTCAAGAAGGCCGAACGCGCTGTGTTGAGAATGTAGCAAGGTCATCTATGTTAGGGAGGTTCCCTAGTCGAGTTTAAAATAAAAGAGTCGCTTGTGTCGGCCGAATGTCGAATTTGAAAAAAAGATTAAAGCTGTGAAAGTCATACAGCCCTTGGATGTAATCAAAGAGGTGAACTGGGGCTGACGCCGACCTTGGTTGGTGAGTGGTCGGGAGGAAGTCGTGGGAAGGTCCTGAACGCGTGACAGGGGCTAAGCGTCCGCAGCGAGAGGACGTAAGAGAGAACTATGTCCATAGATTGCGCTTACGACTTCTGTACTTCACCTCACATCACCTATAGCAGGCCCTGACCTGTCTTCTCTGAACCGGTGTGGAAACCACATCAACCCCCAAGCGGCTATGCAAATCTCGCGTTAGGTCGCCCCTCGGGTACTTAAAACAACTTTTTGATTCTTCGAAAATCCGTCTGGAAAAGTCATCAGCGTCCTTGCTAACAGATGGGTCTGTGCTTGGCCTTGCAAGCTTGCTTAAACTGGGAAAATAGTTAAATACTGGTGTGGGATTCTCTCATCCGGCGAACTTCCTTCCTGTCTCCCTCTCTGATCTATTTTATTTTTCCCCACAAGTGAAACACGTTAAGGGTATTCGCCCGGCCTTACTGCGATCATTTTAGACATAGAAACTACCTAACAGTTATAGCTTTAGGTTTTAAAACGTGTTTTCTTCTTCTGTTAGCCTGGTATCCAGTCTTGATGGGAGTGACTTTCCTTATGACAAAAACCGTTCGGAATCTCCTAGCAGATGCCAGAATTTGTCTCTTTTTCAGTGTTTTTCGCCTGATTTTGCAACATGTAGTACTTTCTCTATTACCTTACTGCATTGCATTTAATAACGATTTGCCTCGTCCAATCGTTGCAAAACAGATGTGTAAATTTAAAACGTCATGATTGACTCCTCGCACCTGCTTGAAGATTAGGAAAGGTACAGGACTGGGCACCAGGCTTGCGTGTTCCGTACAACATGTGATGACTTGATCTGATATTTATGACATGACCTGGGCGTCTCCTCAGCTTTTGCCAGCTCTCTCTAACTTGCTTATGCCTTGTTGCTTTGCTTTCCTCTGCAGACATAACGGCCTTCAAATTACAATGTGAGGACGAGAACAAAGTCACGCATTTCAACAACGACATCTGGAAAGCGGACAGGTGCACAACATGCGTCTGCGATAGAGGAAATATCATCTGCAGTCAGATAGTCTGCGACCAACAGATAATGAACCCCAACTGTAAATCATGGGAGACCCCCCTGAATGAGTGCTGCCCCGTCTGCACAGACGGTGACATAATAGGTAGGTACACCAGGAGGGTCTGCATGGGGGCCGTCCCGACACCGCTTTGGCGCTGCTGCATTTCAGACAACACTTGGCGCTATACTCATTCAGCATGCAGTAGCACGCATGACGCTTACTTCAGGAAGCCAATTACGCAAAATGTGACGAAATCCTAAATTCTATCTTTACGTAGTACGCCTTAAACATGCCTAAAGGCACGCGAGAGAAAAAAACGAATCTTTACGCATGCTTAAAGGCTTAAAGAATTGATTTACTAGTATTTGCAGTGATCGCGCTTCGAATTAATTACGGAATTAAAGTAAAGCTTTCCCTACGAACTGGGGTAAATAGGAATATCTTGCCTGCGCCATTTTTTGAACTTGATAAGGGGGTGCGACGGACCTGACTTGCCGGACTAACAAGCGTTAACCGCCGCATTCAGCGATTTCTTAACCCCCTAAACGGACGTTTCAAGACCTGACCAGTATGATAGCTAGGATTTGACCTATCTGACTGTTTACTCTTCTGTTTGTGACAAAATTTAATACGTTTGTTCATTGCTAATAACTGTTTTCTTTTCTTTTCCTCCAAACAGTGAAATTCCCAGGCGTAAGTGTGTTTTGTTTTCTTTTCAAGAATACGTACTTAAAACTGCAAATTAGGCTATCAACACGAATTCCATAATTCCATAATTGATATCACACAAAGTACTGTAAAGAAGCAGTTCCATACTAAAAATATTAGCATGAATATGCAAATCCCAGACTGTCTGAATATCATTCCAGACTGGTCTGTAAGGGTAATATAAAATAATCGAAAAACAAAACTCCGAAGGAAATATATATTTAACGAGTATAGTCTTTTGTGAGAAAGAGCTGACAAATTAATACTTGCTTAAAAAGGTCCACCCGAGATAAAGTCGTTGTTTTGGGCTAACACTACTACTCTGCCACTTGTAGGGACCCAAGGGAGAGCCCGGTAATGCACTGATCGACGGTGAAGGATATGCTGGCGTAAGTATCATTTATCATTTTATGTCATCATCGTCCATCTTATCTTTGAACTTCACATGCACTTAAATCAAGCAAAAAAATGTACTTGTTCTCGTGCACAAAAATGCGATAATGCTTTCCTGTCTAGATCTATGTGATTCTCATTTTTAGTATTCAAAAGGTCTGTTTATTAATTACTTGCTTGCTGCGTGATAACGATTTGCAACCATGTTTGAAATGAAGTTCTCTCTTCTCCACAATGATTTTCCTCGCAGCTTTATTTTAACGAAATGCGTTAGAAACGTACTCTACTTCAAAATCATTTCAATAAACGTCCATAATTATAACCTAATTTCCACCTTCTACTTCGAACCTGATCATGAGTGATAAAAAAATAACTGAACTTACGGTATGTCGTGTTTCTTGTATCCCCACAGTTGCAGGGACCAGCAGGCCCCGCTGGACCCCAGGTACGACCAGTCGTCTTACAATTTAAAATAAATGCACTGGAGCGATTTCAGGGCAGTAAAACTCGATTGGCCAAGTCAATTTTCTGGTCATTTATTTAGATATATCAACGTTAGTTTGACTAGATCTTTTCCTTTTCTTCTAGGGCGAATCTGGACCACCTGGACTTCCCGGTAGCCGAGGACCACCCGGACCCCGGGTAAGAACCACTCACCTCTCCATGTGTCGTACCTTCTAAAAGGTAAAGAGATGAGTAGAAAGGTAATGATAAAGGTAGGGTGATTCGCTGGAGGCAGTTTTGACCACGGCTGGTGTCTGGGGCTTGTCACATGCAAGTAGGCATCAGAAATTCCTGTACAGCCGTTCTTACACTAACCTGCATATGCAGGTGCTTGTGGTATTTGGAGCCCTGTATTTAAATCACGTTCTAACGTACCCAAAGTGTATTTTTCGTTAAAACGTATAACCGGCCAGCTGTCTTTGGGAGCACAACACCAGGTCCGTTCGACTTTCAGCCGGGGTTTTGTCTTGCCTCCCTGGCCCAGACTTTATTTGTTTATAGTAAATTCTACACGATGTCGTCCCCTTTGTATCGGAGCAGACCAAGGTTAAACTCAAGAGGGTGGGGTCGGCACACGATCACCTGAAATATCGGGCAGCACAATAGCACGAGTAGCAGCTTACTGTAATTTGAAATGTGAAATAAAAGGACCTTTCGAGGGATTGTTTTGCGTTAAACGATCACCGACATCGAATGGGTATCTCTTTGACCTAGTTAAACGTTAGGAAACCTAGTCATGAACGATTAGTAACGCGGACATCGGGGAATATGGCGAGATTTTCTTGAAGAATGACGAATGGAGAAGAAGAGTTATGGTTTCTTTGGGTTTAGAGCTGGACATTGCGTTTAATCTTGTTTTGGAACACCATAGCTGTTAAAATTTACCGAACCCCTGTGCCCTTCTCTCAGTCTTGTCTACACATTGTCCATAATCCGCAGACCCTCTTGAGATCTGACCCTGCCCGTTTCCCCCAACAAAAGCTGCGTTTGTTGGCGCTACGCTAAGCCCGTCATAGGTAGTTGAGTGCCAGCCAGGGCTGAGATTCCTCAGATTGTAGTGATAAACACAGGTGTGGGAGACAGTTAAAAGGCCGCCTGCCCGGCTTTGAACTCGCCTGTCGCCGTGGCTTTAGGCCGGACTTCCCCACACAAACCTCCGTCTAGAAAAGAACCCGTATTGACAGACGGACGTCGTCTGGTTCAAACATCTGGACGCCCCAGAGCTTACACTGACTCTGAACTTGTCAAAAGAAGACATTTGCGACCGCTTCTATCATTGCTTTGATTGTAATATTTGATAGTTCCTGTAATGTCTGACTGAACAAAAGAGTCTATTATAGCATAAGGCACACAAAATAAAGCCAACCGCCAGGTAGGATAAACAAATCAACTGTTGAAAGGTGATAGTGAGGTAGAACTGACCCTGAATGGAAATGGGGTCGAGTGCAACATCCGGGTACTGTTACCAGAGGGCAAAGGTCACGTTTGTCGGGCCGCAATATGTTCCACTTGTTGATAGAGTCACCTGCGCTGCCATTTTGGCTTGGAGTCAGTGTGAAGAAGAATCCGAAGTTGTTACGTTTGCAATTAAAAGAAATACAATCCAAGTGTCCTCAAACGAGGGGTATCGGGAGGGGGTGGTGATACGTAAACAAGGTTAGATTTTAGCACACTGTTTATCCTTATAGATCTGGTGTTGTGACACGACAAGTGATCCATATTGGATTGGCCCCTCGCAATCTCTGTAAAACTCAAAATGTTGTGTACACTAGAAAGTAAATTCAGAAAGGCCAAAAGTGTACCTAAATGAAAAGCAGGTGTATGAATTGAATGGAGTCATGGAGATGAGGATGTAACTAGACAAATGTAAATAAGTACACGCAGGAATTGTATGTTTGTGTGGTTAGCGTGGCGGAAGAGCGTACTTAAGTCTATCCTCCTCTCTCCCCCAGGGACCACCTGGAACACCTGGCAACCCTGGTACACCTGGAACACCTGGACCCCCTGGACCTCCCGGACCCGGTGGTGCTGGCGTAAGAAACACCTACGACTCTTGCCTTCTTTCAAAATGAAACTTTTCATAGTCTTACCATCTTTTATACATTTCCTGTAATTAAATTACAACCGATGTGATGCAAAAATGTTCAGACGTGACAGTAGATTATGCTGTAGTATCAGATGTTCATTAAATTGTGTATGACTCTAGGTCATTATATTTTATTTAATGACTGTGCATGTGACTGTATGTTTGACTGCCCTTAGATTGACTATGCACCGATTCATTTATTAGGAGTCGACGATTGTACGATTTACTGCCTCCTTTAATGTCCCTTAAATCTCACGTTTGTCTCATTTACTAATAATAATAATCCATTTCATTTTCTGTAACGACAGGAACGCATGACTGTGGAGAGGACGACTTAAACTCCCTACGCGAGAATGTTTATTGCAGACCCCCCCCCCTCCAATCTCATCATGCATGTGTGATTAACATCCAGTAACATGGGTAGGCGCCAACTGTTGCGTCTCCCTTAACGACGCATATGCACCTAGCTGTCCCGACGGATCAACGTTTGTGTGGACTCTTGGACGCGACGTCTTAAGTTTAACTACGCCTCAAGTTGGCACTTCTGTATCTTACAGGCAAACGCCCTGGCTGCAATGCAAGGTACTGACCAGAAGGCCGGCGGAGCTGCTCTCGGAATGCAGGGACCCATGGTTAGTAATTATAATATGTTAATTTGCAGCCCTTATTGTTCCAGGTTAACGTTTTAGGCGCAATGACTGCAAGTGACATGAAGGCTGGCGGCGCTGCTCTTGGGATGCAGGGACCAATGGTTAGTGGTTATGGGTTATCTTGGTGTTCGGTATGTCCCTGGCGATGACTGGGAGTCGTGGATATGTCTTCTGCAACCAGCTCCTGTGGGAAGTCTTGCAGCGTGCTTGTACAGCGACAGGTTTGTCTAGTAGATAGATCTTTTACACCTACAAATTAAGAGTATATGTAAAAGGGCTGCGTCTTGTATATAAGTATATACGAAATATATATATATAAAATCATATATGTTAAAAGTGTTAGTTAAGTTAAGGTGTGTTGTGTTTATACGCTGTTGCGTGCTGCTGGCTGGTATTATACTCGTCACTGTCATGTGAATCTTCCTCACACCCTGCTGTGTTGCTCAGGGCCCCATGGGACCCCGTGGATCTCCCGGACCCCCTGGACTGCCCGGACCCCCCGGATTCGGTGGACCCCCTGGCGAGCCTGGTGACTCTGGCCCCCCTGTAAGTACAACAACACTTACGAGGAAAAGACCTGATTTGTATGATAAATCCCAAATCTCACGATTAAAAACAGGTAAAATCATCAAAATCAATCCTTGGCAGAACCCACCGGTCTTCCGCGGGTTGAACCCTGACCCACTGCTTTTGACACGCGACCATCTGGAAACGTGACGTAAGCAGAGGGTCAAAGGTACCTGGAAGTCTACTAAAATGTTAACTAGCAAGACAGATGAGCTCAATTCCGATTCTCGTGTAATTAAGGAAAACTGTTTTATGTCATCCAGATGATAGGCTATCTTCAGATTGATTGCCTTTATTATTACTGATACAATGCTTTCCGGTCGCTAGTGTTCCTTTTGTATTTCACTGTTTTTCTACCACGAGCTTTGTAGTTATCATATCCTCATAAACCGTGAAAGAATTTTAATATGCAATGTGTAAAATGATAAATGTAGAATTCAAATTCATTCTTCTATCACTTTTAGTCATTTCATACTGAAATTCATAGCCTCACTCATGAATATGTTTCCCATGACACTGTGGTATTAGGAGACAGACGGCGATTTGGTCTAGATTTTGGTATATTTGGTGAAGAGGGGGAAACTATGAACATCTTGGTTACTTCACTGCCACCCAGACTGGTTTCGCTTGACCCGAAAAGGTGCCACCTAAAAAAAGTCACATGCCAATGCCGTCTGTTTTCTACCAGATGACACAGAGTTGTGGAAAACACATCTTTCCTTCCATTGTCTGTCCTGCTCATCTCCACGCTTGTATGTGTGTATACCATGTGTTTAGGGTCCTGGTGGCCCTCGAGGACCCCCGGGTCCCGCTGGCAAGCCTGGCGAAGATGTAAGTAGAACTTCTCTCTTCCTCCGATATATTTTCTACTAGTAACAATTTTACTCCCATGTGTGTGTAGGGTCCTACTGGCCCACGTGGTCCTCAGGGACCCCCTGGCAAGTCTGGTGAAGACGTGAGTTACTTTTGACTGACTTAGATATAAGCACGATTCACGGCATGACTGTTTTACTGCAAAACTATTGAACGTCATAAGGCATGACTGCACCAACAATAAGCTGCACGTCAACGTTATATTTACATTCACTGCACTGTAATTTTATATTTGTTCATGAATCTGACGACTACCGAAACTATTGTCACGATTTACGGCACGATTGCACCTCTTAATTAAAATGCACGTAACGTAAGTGTTGATGAATCCATACGTCGTCTAACAAGTAATGGAGAATATACTACTATTATACGTCTCAATGGGTTTATCTATTATTAAAATATTACTTCCTCGAAAGATGTATTCAACTAAGACGGTAAAGTGGACGGGCAACTGACGTTGTTGACTGACGTCTTGAGTTGATGTTTGTTGGTTATGACGTCTACAGGGTTCTTCTGGAAGGGATGGCAAGCCCGGTCCCATCGGCCCACCCGGACCTCAGGGCCCGCGTGGCTTCCCCGGCACTCCCGGTATCCCTGGACTGAAGGGACACAGGGTAAGCACAGATTTAAAGTTTTCATCTTAAGAAACAAAGTATACCTCCTGTACTCTCATGGAACAACGGCTGAAAAACAAAAAGAAATTACAACTATCGGCAAGAGAGTAGTTGTTGTCACCACTTATACTAAGGTATAATTTCTAAGCCGACGTGAACGAAGAATAAACCAAGCATATCAATAATATACACATGGTTCTCTTGAATGAACCTTCATCCCTTCATCATCCTCATTCCTTGCTAGACATAAGGGATCATGATTTTTTACCAAGGGTACTATTACAATATCTACATATCTGTTTTTCATTTTTTTACAGGGTTTCCCTGGTCTGGATGGCGCTAAGGGTGAGGGTGGTGCTCCTGGTGAGAAGGTATGTTGCACAATGGCGTACTTTCACCTAGAAAAAATATATTTCGTGATGCCTATCCCACCTGCTTGAGCTCTTCCTGTTCGCCGTTATCTGGCATAAGAAAGGGAAAGTGAGTTTAATAACCTGAGCATCTGGAATGAATCCACACGACTATCGTTCAGACGAGAATGTGCTCTGATGTGACCCGCAGGGTACGATTTAATGAGCGAGAAATTCTGATTTCAAGCCATGGATAACCGTTTCGCTGCCATTAATGTCGCTGACCTGCCAACTATGTAAAGTATCATGCGAGATTGATTATAGTTTAGTGGGCCCCATCAGATTCTGAAAATCGTACCAAAGCGGTTGACAGATATGTGTTTTACTTTTCTGATTTCTAAAATCTTCCCGAGACTATCAAGAAAGAGTAAACTGACTCGCAGCCTTGTGCGTGTTAACGTTTTGGTTGTCAGACATCAGCAATATCAATGACGAGGTCCCCATGCCAGGTTGCCAAGAGTTATTAAAGGTTAATTTACAGTATCAGCCTGTCAGATCTGGAGATTTCACCGCCGTAACCTAATTATGTGTAGTGAAATCACGCAGCTA